AAATCTAAATCTAAATTGCGTTCAATTAAAAAAAAAAGCATGTCTGCATAAATTCTGACTTAACGAAAACTCAACAGAGTAACATCAAACTCCTTAGAGAAGAATTGCTCCAAAAACGGGAAGCTAGAAACACCAATATAATTATCAAGTATGTTAATGGTGTACCAAAAATTTGTCCAAAAAACTAAAGTACTCTCCGTCTGATAGACCAAATAGTACTTACTTCTGTTCATATTGTAAAAAGTATAATGCAAACTGTGTAAATAATATATCTATTAAAAAAAAAATTTACAAAATGTAAGAGGTTTAAGAACCAAAATTAGATTTTTAAAATGCAATGTTCCTTTAATTAATGTAGATTATTTTATGTTGACAAAAACATGGTTAAATACTGATATAATTGATTCTGAATTAGGTTTTGATAATTACAGTGTCTTTTGTCTCGACCGTAGTGTTTCTACTGGTTCTTATGTACGTGGACGTGGAATTGCTATCTGTGTTTATAAAAGCTATAGTGCTGAACAGGTTCGCAAATGAGAACATAAAAATTATATTAGGTACATGTTATATACCACCTACAAGCCCAGTTACTATTTATACGACACATATTGAAACAATTGACTCTCTATATTCATTATTCGATAACAGTACGCAGTTCATTTTAGCAGGAGATTATAATCTACCAAATGTAAAGTTTACTAACGTTGATTTAGATATGTTATATTCAGGTGGTTCACACACCTAGTGCAGATATTATTTTCGAGCATTTTTCTAGTTTAAATCTTTACCAAGAAAACATGATAGTAAATGAGTTTGGCAAATCATTAGATTTAATAAAAAAATAACAAAAAACTCTACTCATGTTAATAAATCAGAAGACAATTTAATAATAAAACCATTATTAAATAGTTTAATAATGGTATAATAAATTATACAGGCGTAATCATCCATTATGATGAAATAAATAAATAAATAACCCTTTATACAAGGGGAATCAAAACTTTAAACATATGTATTGAAACTAGGACATTCTCAATTTAATTTTTGAAAGTATTCCGGAAATACTGACACTTTTATATATATCTTAAATTAAAGCTTATGTAATATACTTTAATTTGACAAAAAAAAAATTACCTCTGGATTTGTCTTCATGGTAAAAATGACTACCGTATTCAAAAAAATGCTATTTTTGTGTTAAAATACTGGATTTTTTATTTTGTTTTATTTTAAAATACACAGATTTTCATAAATATTATAAAAATCAAATTGATAAAGCATAGAAAATTAAATTTATTTAAATTTTTTTGCTTTTTTTAAGTCGAGAAAAATAACTTTGAAATTCGAATTAGCTTAAACTGCCACTTTTTTCATCTGACGTTGGCGACGTACGGTTGCTGAGTCGGTAAAATTTTTGTTTTACGCGCTAAAGGTACAAGGTTCCATCTAGCATATAGCAAGGAATTTTTTGCATTTTTTCTTAATTCTTTTTAAGTTAAAATAAATTTTCAACTCCTATGATTTTTATCTCATTTAGATTCAATAACTTCAAATAAATAACTTCTAATAAAGATCATGGATCCCATCACTGTAGTCGCCCCTTGCGAGAAGAAATTTCTTATTCATATTAAAATTATTTTACTATATTTTAGGTTTTAGCTTGGATGTAAAGCTGAGAAGATATTTTTTTGTGACTATCATTTATTTTCTCTGCTCTAACTTGACCTACTTTTTTCAACGATACGTCAAATAACTTAATTATCTATTGCGATAAAAATGCAAAAAAATATTGAGCATTTTTTAAAAATTTACTATAAATAATAATTATAAAATTTCCTGACTGCGTATTAATATTAACGATACAATTTTTTTAATTCTCATAAAATTTTTTATTTAATGATGTAAATTTCAAACTTGCCAATTGAGCTAAAAGTTATGGTAAAATAAATTAGTTATTTTGTTCATAAAAATCAACTTTAAACGATTAATAAAATAGGTTAAATATGTCATTTTCCTTATTTTTAACATATTAATAATCAAAATCAGTATTACTTATAATCAATATTACTTTAAAACAATTTCTTTTTTGTTAATTATTTTTTTTTTATACATAAATATAAAATTATATTATATTTATTTAAAATTATATTTATTTTTTAATAATAAGTAATAATATTAAAACTTCGAAGTAATTGAAAAAGTTTTGCACATATGAAAACATCGCGAGAAGTTGATTTAAAAACGTATATTTTTGTTTCTAATGAAAGTTCCTTGTAGTCTAGTGCATTTATTCATAAGTAACAAAAATTTTTTATTACAAAGTATTGCATCAATCCCTTTAAATTTTTATACGCGTTAAAAGTATATGAATATACAACTCTTTTTTATTTTTATAATATCTCCGTAAAAATTACAATATTATATTATTGAATATCAATTTCATACTAAATTTAATTACTATAATTATTATGTGTTCATATATTATAATTATAAATCGGAATAAAATGAACGGAATAAGAGTTATGGATGCTTTTGAAGTAATCTACCGATCTCATAAAATTAAACACTATCTACAGATTTGCATCGAAGCGTTTTTTATGATAGTGATTTTAATCACCGTCAGATATCATTATACTTGACCCAACTATGTCACGTCACCACTGTGCTCCAACCCCCCTGTGATAGTAATATGTAAATAGCGGGTTCTGGGGACCAAAGGATGCCGCCATGGTAATTAGTGTTATACGTCGTCAAAAGTAATAAATTAAGAATGTTAATGGTTAATTAAGGTCAATCGTAATTGTTAAAGTCGTAAATCAAGTGTGTAATAGTTCAAATTGCATATATAGCCTTCAGCTGCCATAGAGTTCACACGTCTCGTGTTACGCTCCTGCTAATATTCTGTTATAATTTTACGTTAATTTTATCGTTTAATATTGAAGTAGTTTTGTTTAAAATATTTAAATCTACGAATTCAAGATACAAGATAAATATTAATATCAATGCGATCCTTTGGAATCCAGGTAAAAAATTAATACATTACTAATTGCCTCAGAATGAAAAATAATCACAAACTGCGGTTAACTCCATTATCTAAAATTAGACACTCCGATAACCCCGATAACAATTGTAAATCGTTCCCAAATACTTAATACTACAAATGACCATCAAAAAACCATTACAGATGATTTAGATGACGACTGGATAACAGTTTTATCACCTAATAAAAGACCACACACACAATCACCCGGATCCTCTCCTATACCAAAACACAGCGGTACATCTAATAATAATATTAAAGTATTAAACCGATATACTCCTCTACAAACAAATTATGATAACATGGAAACCGAACAAACAAATGAACCCACTCTATACAAACCTCCCTCCACCTATATTCATCAAATCTGATTTGAATTACGTAAACTTTTGTGAGGCGAATAAAAATTATTATTGACATGGATGCATTTACTTGTAAAAGTAACGCATCTGGTCTAAAACTTCAAATCAAAACCCACGATTCATATCGAAAAATTGTACACATTCTTTTACAAAAATATGTTGATTATCATACGTACCAAATCAAACAAGATAAACCATTTCGTGTCGTATTAAAAATCTTACACCATTCTACAGACCCCAAAATTATTAAGGAAGAATTAACTGAACTTAGTTTTAATGTTAAACAAGTCATTTATGTTCTGCAAAGATATACAAAAAAATTACTTTCTGTTTTTTGTTGACTTTGAACCAGACATAAACAACAACGAAATATTCAAAGTCGACACTATTTACCACTCAAAAATAAAATTTGAAGAGCTCATACTTAATAATAACTCAATTCAATGCCTTAAATGCCAAAATTTCGGCCATGCGAAAAGATACTAAAATCACGAACCTCGTTGCGTCAAATGTGACGGTTCACATATGTCAGTAATAAGTCAAAAAACTAGACTAACCACCTAAAAGTGTACTGTGTGGAGGAGCCCATCCAGCGAATTACAGAGGTTGCCCTATATATAAAAACGAGCAACAGCTCGTAATGTGTGTAAATATATGTAACATATATCTGAAGACGCAGTATTCCGGGAACATTTTTAAAAGTTAAGTTTTGTGAAAAAGTTACTATGTTGAATCGTCTCTTGTAGGCGGATAAAGGGTTAGGTTTTCAAAAATATTTTATCAAATAAAATGGAATTACTCGAGGTTTCAATATAAAGAATAATTATTTTCATTTGTTCATTGTTCAATAAGTTATGGCAATTTTTAGAAAAAAATGTCGAAATTTATCGATTTTAAAAATCGTTGTTTTGGGGAATTTCCATCATTTACGGGGAACTAGGAAAAATATTCAATTTTTGTGGTTGATGTCTTCAAATAAATACGATTTGTGATCTTTTGATGTATTGTTGAGAATAATCGGTCTAGTGAGAGTTGAACAAAAGTAGTGACAGACACAGAAAAAATAAATAAATAAAACATGGTAAAATAAATACCTTCTCAGCTTCCCATCGAAGCCAAAACTTAATAAAATATGAACTCAAAAATAGCATGTTTTATAATTACAGCAGCCATTTTGACAAAGAAAATTAATATCATTAATTATTCAATATCAATATCCTGCCTCCGGTACGAATGTCAATAGTTCAGTTTTATTTATTGTTTACTCAATTAATTGTTACCAGAATATTTGTTTATTGACCCATGTAACAATGATAATACAATGTTTTTGAAAAATGAATTGATCTATAAAAAATTGGTGCATTATTTTTGCAGGCCAATTGAGATTGTTTTTAAAGTTAGAGGTTCGTTGCAGAACCTGGCCCCCCACCCAAATGATGTCCCTGTTTGAATCCCCCTGATTCTTCTAATACTATTTGAATATGTATGTATTGATAACACATTTTAGTTAGTTAGTAACATTTTTTAGATAACATAGTTATCACAATGTTATAGAAAAGCCAGTAGTATTGTGTGATCTTTTAACATGGTGTTTTAATAAAGGAATAAATTATACTTAAGTGTTCAGATCCTTTTATTAAGACCATTTCCATCATAATATGTATTATCTATCCAAGCAATACAACAGTATCAATATGTGGTCAGATTTGCATTGTTATGATTGCCAGTGGATGGTTTCAATTTGGTCTTGGGATAGTTATTATTAATCGCAGAGTAGATCAAGAAATGCTTGTTAAAAATGAAATGAAAATAAGTTTTTTAAGTTATAGTACTGAAGCAGACATAAAAAGAAGATGGAATGAATTTCAGTTTGAAGTAAATTTAAAAAATGTAGTATTTTTTGATCTTAAAATTATTTTTTCTTAATAGAATGACTTCATCATAGATTATTTTATATTGTTAGTCAACAACAGAGAAACATGATATATAAATACATGTATAGATATCCTAAACAAAAACCTAGCCGTGAAAAATATTTAACACCCACTCTCAAGAAAGCCCAAATTATTAGTTTAGTTTATTCTGTATTACTAGTTAGTGTATTTATGAACTCACAATAATGTGCCTTACTACCATTGATAATAAATACTGTGTACCTGAAAATATCGGTGTCCTAAAAACCAATTAGCTACCTGTATTTGTAATTCCTTGTGTATTATAAATGTATATTAAATCAAAGATTTGAAACTTTAAATAATTACGTCTAATAAACAAATAAAGTTATAGTAAAAATTCAAATGCCATTTACTTTTAAATTAAAAACACAAACATTTTATTAAATTCAAAATATGAGTTCCTATTTAAAAAAAAAAAGTTGACACCCTTACATGGCATAAGGGATGAGATTAAAAAAAATTACATAGTTAATAATTCAAGAATAATGTGTAACTAAAGATAACAAATAAACAAATTTTTATTGTTTGCGCTAGGACTAAGTTTAGGAAAATGTATGTACACAAAAAATAATAAACATTATTGAGTGATTTAATCTCAAATAGAAAAAAAAACCAGCAAAGGGGGATCGCGGCACAGTGGTGACGTAGCATAGTTGGATCAAGTATAATGATATCTGACAGTGATTAAAATCACTATCAAAAAAAAAAAAAACGCTTCAATGCAAATTTTTTGATAGTGTTTAATTTTAAAAAATTGGTGGATTATTCCATATGCGTACGTGCATGTTCTTACCTTTGTTAAATATATATATTCTCTGGATTGTTTTCGCGACTTGACTGCGGTGTCGATTACACCTAAACCTACCTGGTATGCGAAAGTGTATCTATGCCGATAATATAACAATATATATATATATATTGTCTCTACAGTATTGTTTTTGGGACTTGGCGGTGGTGTCGATTATACCTAAACCTAACTTGTATGCGAAAGTGTATCTATGCGGATAATATAACAATATATATATATTGTCGCTACAGTATTGTTTTTGCGACTTGACGGTGGTGTCGATTATACCTAAACATAACTTGTGTGCGTAAGTGTATTTACGCGAATAATCTAATAAGCCTGTGCGGTCTCAACTATATATTTATTGGATACGCGTTATCCTCGGGCGTCAACAGGTTAGCAGCGTTGATGGCGACGGTGCGCGAGTGCGGATCGATTCGTGATCGTTGTCACTTTGACAACGTGAAGAAGACTACGGTATCATTTGCGGCGGGACGTCGTCGGGCGTGCGGCACTTGCTGGACTTTGTACCGCGGCGTATAACGCGAGATGTTGGTCAGTCAAATACTCATAATAGGGCGACGGCTGATAAAGGTGGCATCGTGTATAATGAAGCGACGCGGGGCTGTGTCAGTCACAATAAAAATTTGTTATATATATATATATAATTGATGACACGCACGTGTATACGGGTACGAAAACCAAAAATAAAATTATACAGAAAAATAGTGTAGTGTCGACTGTTAAGGGGGGTGGGGTGAATGCGTTACGACGGTCTAGTCTCAAGGTCATAGACGACGGGATACGTGACATAATAACACGTGCCGCGTGGAGTTACAAACTTACAACAAACATGTGAAACTAATATAAGCGTGTTAAAAAAAAATTAGCAAAGACAGAAAAGGAGACTGACAAACATAGAAATGATGTTGAAGTAGCGGTGTATGATTTACAGGCAGTGATACCAGTGACTAAAGGACAAGTGTCTTTATTTTATTATAAATCAAGGATAAACTGCTTTAATTTTACTGTGAGCGATTTGATGGCCAAGGATGTAGTTTGCTTTTTTTGGGACGAGACAGAAGGCAAACGTGGTGCTGTGGAAATCGGAAGTTGTGTCATCACTTACATTCAAGATAAATTAGCGGCTAATACAGGCAAAGATATTGAGCTTATATTTTACTCCGATAACTGCTGTGGGCAGCAAAAAAATAAATATTTACTATCTGCGTATGCATATGCGGTTTTTAAAATGGGTCGATCACACATAAATTTTTATTACGTGGTCACTCCCAAAATGAGGGAGATAACGTCCACAGTGTTATCGAAAAGCAAATTAAGAAGCATACTCAATCAGGTCCAATATGTACTAAACCAATATTCTACATTGATTCGAGCTGCAAAGAAAACTGGCCAATCTTATAAGGTTAAAGAAATAACTTATGAGAACTTTTATGACCTAAAAACTGTTCAAGAAGAATGGGGTAAAAATTTTACTGTAAGTGAAGACAAAAAACAAGTTAAGTGACATAATATTAAAATGCTACGTGTACAGAAAGAAACTCCTGGTGCATTCTTTTATAAAACATCCTATTCTGATGTAGAATTTAAAAAAGTTGTAGCGCAGAGAAAAAGAACCCGACAAAATCAAGAAGATTTTCCACAAGATTTGCGGCAAGCCTATGTAGCTAAAATTCCATTAACTGAAGCTAAAAAAAAGGGTATCAAAGAACTGGTTGACAAAAATGTAATTCCAAAAGCTTACTATGATTTCTACTATAAAAATATTCTAAATGACAACAATTAAGTTCAAAAAATAGATACCTATAGAGTTTTTCAATGAAGAAAGCCTGATTAGTTATAAGCTAGTTTACCTATTTATAATTTGTTAGTTATAAGCAAAGCACTTTTGATTTTATGTGATATAGAATGTTGATATACAGGCGATATTTTGCTGTAAAAAGTTTCTTTACGTTTTGTTTTTCGTTTTTTTATGTATAAGATTTTAATCTTAATACAAATATATTTATGAGTAAAAAGCGTTGTTACTATTCCTTCCATTTCCATTCAATTCACTCTTTTTCATATTATTATTGCTAATTGAAATGCAGTTTATGATAAACTGTTTATTTGAATTAACTTGTTCATATTTTTGTCATTATAAAAATAGTAACTTGAAGTTTTGTCAAGAAAACTGTGCTAACTCAAAATAATTAACTTTTTTTCTTATATTGAATAGTAGAAAACTGTCGTAATTAAAAAATTCTTAATTAAACAGCTTTCTACACAAAAAAATGCATTATAACTATACCATGATATTTCAGAACATCCTACATTGCGTATTCTTTTTTTGAAAATTAAATAAATCACGCGAGTTCTCGAATATCAGTTTTTCTTGAATTGTGAAAAAAGAGGTTTTTTGAGTTACAACAGTTTAGATCTAGGGGTGCGATATATTCTTATACATATCGGCGTTCTTCCAATAAAACCAATTGATCCACGTTCCAATTTCAAATTCTTCAATTGCATACCCAACATTTTTGACCTAACCGCGCTGTTGTTAGTTTTATTACGCTTAAACAACTTACATATTGATAGGGATGTAAACTAAATAGCTTCAATAAAAATAAAATAAATTATTTATTCATTAAAATGATAAAATAAATCTAAACTAAATCTAGAGTATATTTATGAATAATTGACGTATTAGCTAGCTGGCTGGTTCATGGTTTTTATTTTGGGCGTATAAAATATTAAATTTATTAAATAATACATTTTTAGTTTTCAAAAAAACAATTGTATGTTAATAATGCTTATTAAACACGTATGTGACAAGGATACGGAGCGTTGAACCGGTGATATAGTAAAGAATAAATGTATAAAGGTATAACACCACCGGTGGTGTCATTTTTGTCATTAAATGAATACGATAGTGATCATTATTGTACAATGATATTGAAAATATCCTCGCCTAAGCGTCTGATAACCGATGATAACTATTGTTCACGTAAAAATGTTTATCATAATTTCAATTTAGCACCTCTTTTTAGTGCCTCATTTTAGCAGCTCATTTGACCGCGCCCAGTATCCTTGAAGTGGCCTAGTTTTCCCATTTTTACCCTTCTTACTATATTTAATTTCTGTATAAATATTTATTTAAATATTATACTTAAAAATCAAAGTATTACTAATCAGGATATAGTTAATAAAGTAGTGGTCAATGTTGCTTTTGGAATAATTCACCAATTATTAAAATTTAAAATATTGAGCATTTCTGATAAATTTATTGTAAATAGTAATTATTAAATTTTCTGACGTCCATTCATTTTATTTTGAAATTCTCATAAAATTTTCTAATTAATGATGTCAATTTCAATCTTGCAAGTTGAGCTAAAATCATAGCAATAAATTCATCTTTTCATTATAAACTTTCACAGACCAAAAAAGTAGGTTAAATTGATTTTTTGCAATGATTATTTTTATCATATTAAAAATAAAAACCTAGCACAGTGGGGTGGCGGCACAGTGGGGTCCTGGCATAGTTGGGTCCAGTATAGATGATATCTGACAGTGATTAAAATCACTATCATAAAAAACGCTTCGATGCAAATCTGTAGATAGTGTTTAATTAAAAAAAAAAAAAATTGTTAAAATAGCATATTTTTAATATGGTAGCCATTTACGCATAGAAGATAGGTCGTCGGGACAAATTTTTTTTTTTCATTTTATATTACATAAAATAAGCTTTAATTTGATATTTTTTTAAAGGACTCAGTATTTCCGGAACATTTTCAAAAATTAAGTTGAAAAAGATCTATGTTTTTTACAATATTTCAAATTTTGGACGCCCCCTATATAAGGGGAAATTGTCCAATTTTAATAAAAAGTATGTCAAATGAAAGATGTACTTATAATGTATTTAGAAAAAAAAAATTTGTGCTGATATATACATTTTTCAAAAAGTTATAGCATTTTTAAGTTGAAAATTTAAAATCGAAAATTTTAACACAAAAATAGTGTTTTTTTAACTACGGCAGCCGTTTAAATGTAGAAAAAAAAGTGTCGGGACAAATTTTTTTTTTTCATTTTGTAGTACATAAAATAAGCTTTAATTTTATATATGTTTAAAGGACGCAGTATTTCCGGAACATTTTCAAAAATTAAGTTGAAAAAGTTATTTTTTGTAAAAAAGTTACTATTTTAAATCCTCCCAGTGAGCAGAATAAGTGTTAGATTTTCAAAAAAAATTATATCAAATGAAAGGGAAATATCTAAGGTTTCAATACAAAAAAATATTATTTTTATTTGTTCATTTTTGAAAAAGTTATGGCAGTTTTAAGTACAAAAAACATCCCGATAAAATGTAATTTTTATCGCAAACATTACATTTTTTTTTAAATTTTCGACAGCCATTTGCACATAGAAGATAAGATGTCGGGACAAATTTTTTTTTTTCATTTGATAGTATATAACATAACCTTTGATTTGATATATGTTTAAAGGACGCAGTATTTCCGGAACATTTTCAAAAGTTCAGTTGAAAAAAATTTATGTTTTTTACAATATTTCAAGTTTTGAACGCCCCCTATATAAGGGGAAATTGTCCAATTTTAATAAAAAGTATGTCAAATGAAAGATGTACTTATAATGTATTTAGAAAAAAAAAATTTTGTGCTGATATATACATTTTTCAACAAGTTATAGCATTTTTAAGTTGAAAATTTCGATTCGAAAATCGAAAATTTTAACACAAAAATAGTGTTTTTTTAACTACGGCAGCCGTTTAAATGTAGAAGAAAAAGTGTCGGGACAAATTTTTTTATAAATTATTGCATTAAGCCCTTTAATGTTTATACATATATGTCATAGAATTAACGAATAAACTACTATATCATATTTTATTATTTCTCCGGAAAAATTATGATTTTAATAAATAAATATTAATTTCATATTATATTAAATTGTTATAATAAATATTTATTCATAAATATACTTTTAAAACTAAGAACTACTAATGAGGATATAAGAAAATAGGAATTGTGTTTCTGTTATAATTATGCACTAATTTCTTAGAATTAAACACTATCTACAGATTTGCTTCGAAGTGTTTCTTTCTTATAATAGTAATTTTAATCACTGTTAGATATCATCTACACTTGTCCCAACTATGTTACGTTTATACAGTGCCACGACCTCACTTTGCTCCCGTTTTTTTACTCGTAAATGTTTTTTGATACGATCAATATGTTCCAATGAGGACCCTACAGCACCCTAGTACTCCCTACTATAGGTTTATCTCTATATATGTTTTTGACGTAATAAAACTAAGTAATTAACTATACTAGTTTTCATGCTGTGGTTTGTACGGTGCTAACAGTTATAAAGCAATAAGTATACAATTACCACATTCGTGTTTTAACCATGGATGTAATAAAGACAATTTCATGTTTGATGGATTAGCTCATTCTGGTTGTTTTAATGTTGTAAAAAAACTTGAAGCTAAGTTGTTGGATCCTGTTATTATACTTACACTGTTTTGTTCTGTACTACAAGTAATAATTTTTTCCCCAGTATTAAACAAAAAAACATATTTATATGATTTTTCTTATTCAGATTTCAAATGCTTTTTTAGCGTTAAACTTATTAAGGTCAAAGCCTAAAGCAAGAAGATATCACATGACAATTAAAAATTGAAATTTCCGTAAACTATCCAACATTTCTCACAATCGTATTGAATGAGAAGAATTATTGAGAAATCAAAAGATTTAATTTATTTTTTAAATTCCACTAACATTCAATTTTCATTTTAAAAATTAAGATATAATAATATATATTATATGTATAGCTGTGATGATACTAACTCATTTATCGGTGAACATTAATAAAAATTTCAACTATTTTTTAATGAACTGGCTATCATACTTATAAAATTAAATTATTATTATTATTATTTTGTAAAAGATAAATGTTGTTTATTTAATAAAAGCCTATTATTAAATTTTTTTTTTTTTTGATATGGATGATTCCAAATTGTCATTAAGTCAACATACTTTTAATGTTCAAAAACGATTAAATGAACTTGAAAAAAGTATTTACATTACAGGGATACAATCGAAATTGAACGGCATAGTCACTCGTCAATTGGCTCATGAAAAATCTTTGTCAAATGAATACTGCATGAAGTATAAACAGCTGGAAAATAAACTAATATCATGTGAAAATGAAAAATATAAAGTTGAACAAGAAATAATTGAATTACATGATCAAAATGAGAGTCTCAAGGATACGTGTGAAAAACATAAGAGAATTCAATTAATTCAAAATGTGAATAAAATTGTAGATTTATTACTTTACTTAGATCTTAATAATTGAATCACTTAATGTAGTAAGGACCAAATTAGTTTTTTTTCAAAATATGTCGTTTTTTTAACGTAATCACTATTATTATTTTATTTTGAATTGTGTTAAAATGATGGCCTTGATTGCATATAAGGATTTAAATATACAATGACTTAAACTAATGTAGTTTGAATCAAGTATTATTATAATTAATATTAAGTATAATGATTCTATTAAAATAAATATTGATTTGATTAAATATCTTATATGTTATACTGAAAAAATGTTTTTTAGTATTACTTTTCCAATACACATAAAAAAGGATTAATTTTTTTTAAATTTTTATTAGATCAAAGGCCCAATTTCCAGGTAAAAATTATCATATAAAAGTTAAAACAAAATAAATTATTTTGCGAATTGAACTAATTAATGCAACTCTTATTAGTAATTGATAAGACACTTAGATTTTAATATTTAAAAATATATATATATTCTTTTTATAAAAAAAATTAAAATTTGGAATTGGCCCTTTATTCTAATAAGTAGTTCAGTTTTAAGACATGTGGCATACGCATGTACATAATAGCATTCACCAATCTTTTATGTATTAGGACGTAGAATTTATATTGTAATATAGCAGTAAAATTATCCAAATAATTATTGCACTTGTTATATAAACTATTTTAATATTATAAAATATTTAGAGAAAAATCGAAAATCTGACACACAAGTTAGCCAGCCAATTAAACGACTATCTACATCTAGTCAATGAATTTAATGCTAAAGAATTTCAATTAGAAAAGCAAAAAAAAGTCATTTTAGAATTAAATAAATGTATGGAGAAGACTGAAAATAACTATAAGTGTTTCTTATATAAAGCACAAAAAAACTTTGAAATATTAAGTGAAGAGAATAACTTAGCTCAACAGAAAATAAACGAATTATCCTCACTATTAGTAGTAAATAGTAAATATATTAAAATACCAAACTTTGTGAATGTTACTAATTACCAATCAGTATTATCTATTTCCTTGGCCCCAGAAAATCATCATAAATTTACATATACTGACACCATTAATATTGTGGATAAAGAAACTGAAACTTTTATTGAAACTTCTGAAGCGTTTTTACAAACAGATGAATTAGATAATTTTCCAAAAAAATATCAACCAACAGTAACTGATTATTGCCAAACTGATACCGAAGCTAATTTAGTTCAAAATACTATTTCAAAAACTTTGTTTGAATGTTTTAATATTTGTGACACTATTGATAACCTTTTTAATCATTTCTGTGGTAATCTAGAGCTAAAAAAATGTTATCAGAAATCGGTTAAAGATTTGTCTGAAGCCTTGAAGATAAAAAATGAGGAAAATAATTTATTGAAAAAAATATGTGGGGATTGCTTATTTGTCAACAATGAAATTTGCGGAGAAATTAAACGTTTAGAAAATATTGCTATGAATAATAATAATTATAATTATAAGTCTTTAAAAATTTTCCCAAATGATAATATTGATTTAAATGTTAATACTAATAAAAACGTAGATGGTAAAATTGACTTCGGCGTCACGGACCCGTCCCATTATTTCAAATTAATAATAACTGATTGTAAAAAAATATGCATGAGTGCTTTTTTGTCGATTACTAAAATGCAAAAGAAATTTGGTTCTACTAAAAGAAAATGTAACAATAAGCATAAAAGTCAAATGACTATGAATAATACTGGCGATAATGTTGCAAATACAAATTTAGGGGAAAATTTAAACTCAAAACATATAAATACAAAAGAGTTTTCTAATTACGAAATAATAAATAAGTTTGGGAAGAAATTAAAGAAGAGTTATACTGAAGATATTTTAACAGCAATTAATGTAAAAAATATTGAGACACCAATCGATGAAGATCAACATTGTAAATTATTTCAACAGAATAAAAATATAATTCCTAAAGTTATAGCAAAGTTTCGTGATGGTATGGAATCTAATCAGACTAAATTAGTACAAAGATCAAACATTAAACATTTATTGAACAAAATAGCGACTAAAGGATTTGGATCGTTGACGTTTCAACAACTGTCATTCATGCATCACAAGATAATCGAAAACAGTGTTGAACACTTTCAAAAGTAACTAATTGTAATAGCTATTTTTTTATTGTATAATATTTATTTTTTTCATCTATATAAACACATTACGCACCATAAAACATACAAATTATGTATTACTTTCAATACTTAGATATAAAAGTTTGATAGACTTCACAACAAAACACTTACCATCTTGGCAAAGGAGTGCTCTGAGTAGTAAACAAGATATAGTATATTTATTTGCTGTTTTAGAGGGAATTTTAATAAGAAAAGATGAAGACGCTCTTGAAAAAAGTAAATATTTAGGGGATATAACTATTTTATATAATAATTGTATATACTCACGGAGTAAAAATATGTGTTTTAAGATTCCGCATTGAATGCTGAACTTGCTGACATTAAACATACATTAGTATCGACTATTAGGGACAAAAACAATTTTGAAAAACAATTGGCTTTAGCTAAAATTGACAATGAGAAGTTGGAAAAAGAAATAAAAAAAATTAATAAATGGTTTCAATGGTAAGAAAGTAAAGTACAGTTAAGTGAATCCAGTTAAATGGAGTTGGAGCATTACAGTTTTTATTTTTTCATTTTCAAATACAAAGTATTAACTTCAATTTAATGTACGCTTAGAGAAAGTAGGAACATTTATTACCGGAAATGAACTAAATTTTTCCAAATTATAGCGCTGATAACTTCAACTAGGTACACTTTGTGATCTTTTGACAAATTTTTAAGCAAAAATTCAATAAGAGCGAGAGTATTGGTGTACCGGTCACAAAAAAAAACTCAGAAAAATAAAATCAATAGCTTCGCAACGAAGCTAAAATTTTAAATGTTAAACATAAAATTATATATTTGTACAATTTTGACAATAGTTGAAATTCGTGATATTTTTTAGAAAAATTTGTGAAAATGTTTTCACAGTTTAGTTTACTATGCTGGTTACAGTTAAAACGAAGGCTCCACTATAGATTGATATTGGATAAGGTTTCACATTATTATCATAAAACGTTTTGATGCGATTGTGCATAATGATAAACATAAAAAAAAGAAAATTTAACAGAACTTTAAACTTTTAAAGTCAAATACTCACAGAAAAAATTTAACAATCATAGAAATCATTCATGAGGGTTATTTTTTGAAAATATTACTGTTCATTTCAAAATTCTTAAATATAATATCGATTAAAAGTTGTAATGTGACAAAAAAATACCCTTCTTTTTTTATATTTATTTTGTTAATTTATTTTAGTTGAGCCGTCAGCGTTTATGACGGTATTTAATTTTTTTATATTTTGATAATGTTCAATATATTTTTTGTTAGTTGTGTCATAAATGCTTCTTTTACGAACAGGTTGGCGGATATCAAATTGTTAATACTTCACTTTAATGTCTAATGACCCGAACGCCTCTAAATTACACATTGTCTATTACATTGTCCAGTGTGATCTATAATTTTAGAATATTTATAGATATCTATAACTATGTTTTTGTTAAAAATCGGAAACTTTCAAAATTTATAATGAAGTTTATAAAGAAATTTATATATATATATACAAAATGATTTTTTTATCATAACCCACTCAATTACTTACAGAATAATAATAATTTATACATTTTTTTTTATTATTATCTTTAGTTACACATTATTCTTGAATTATTAACTATGTAATACTTTTTAAGTTCATCCCTTATGCCTGGTAAGGGTGTCAACTTTGTTTTTTTAAATGGTAACACATATTTTTAATTTAATAAAATGTTTGAGTTTTTAATTCAATAGTAAATGGCATTTGAATTTTTAATAAAACTTAATTTGTTTATTAGATATAAACATTTAAAGTTTCAAATTTTTGAGTTAATATATAGGTATAATACACAAGGGATTACAAATACAGGTAGCTAATTGATTTTTTATGACATCGATATTAGCAGGTACACAGCATTGTTATTATCAATGGTAGTAAGGTACATTGTTGTGATTTATAAATACACTAACTGACAATACAAAAAGTATATCTATTGAGAGTCATAATTGATAATAAACAATCCGTGACTGTGATAGCAATATCATAAAAAACCCATTAGATACCTGTATTTGTAATCCCTTGTGTATTATACCTATATATTAACTCAAAAATTTGAAACTTTAAATGTTTATATCTAATAAGCGAATTAAGTTATATTAAAAATTCAAATGCCATTTACTATTGAATTAAAAACTCAAACATTTTATTAAATTAAAAATATGTGTTACCATTTAAAAAAACAAAGTTGACACCCTTACCAGGCATAAGGGATGAACTTAAAAAGTATTACATAGTTAATAATTCAAGAATAATGTGTAACTAAAGATAATAATAAAAAAAAATGTATAAATTATTATTATTCTGTAAGTAATTGAGTGGGTTATGATAAAAAAATCACCCTGTATATACAGCGTGGCCCACCACTCACTGACAACTTAAATAACTTTTGATCCAGTTAATATTTTTAGCTGATTTTTTTTTTAAATAATAGTTATACGTTAGGTCTATAGCTATATCTCAATAATTAATTTTTTTACATTTTATTAAAAATATTAATTATTTTTAAATTTTAAATAAAATGTAAAAAAAAAATCTAAGATAGCTATTTTGTAGAGTAGAATTTAAGAAAAATTTTAGTAAAAAAATATCTTATTAATATTCAGTAGTAAATATTCTGTAGCGTTTTGAAGTTTGTGAAAATTTGAATTTTCATGTACTATTTTACGGTATTAAACATTGAAATACGTATTGAGAAAAGGACAGAAGAAAACGCTATCTTTTCATGATTACTGTGTATACATATGATGATAATGTGTATACATTACAAACTTGGCATTAATACCATGATAAGAAATTAGATAAGGCAATTATTACTTATCACTCTCATTCAAAAGTATATTGAAAAGATAGCGTTTTCTTCTGTCCTTTTCTCAATACGTATTTCAATGTTTAATACCGTAAAATAATACATGAAAATTCAAATTTTCACAAACTTCAAAACGCTACAGAATATTTACTACTGAATATTAATAAGATATTTTTTTACTAAAATTTTTCTTAAATTCTACTCTACAAAATAGCTATTTTAGATTTTTTTTTTACATTTTATTTAAAATTTAAAAATAATTAATATTTTTAATAAAATGTAAAAAAATTAATTATTGAGATATAGCTATAGACCTAACGTATAACTATTATTTTAAAAAAAAATCAGCTAAAAATATTAACTGGATCAAAAGTTATTTAAGTTGTCAGTGAGTGGTGGGCCACTCTGTATATGTGTGTGTATTTTATGCACATTCAAATAAAAGTGTTTTTTCATAATAATGTTATCATTGTCAGATAACAATTTATACCACAAATATAGATAGTAAATTATTTTTCTAACTCTCTTAAACAGTACTTATAACTGAACTAAATATACCAACTTTGTGTTATTAAATCAAACAATTTATTCATAATACTGTTTAATTTAAAAAATAAATGTGTACACGTAGTATAGGGACTGATAATGTTTTACTTAAAAGAAAATGGTTTCATCTGTTATCACGAGTTTGTATTCTAGTTTATTATCTATACATAAGTGTGATATATACAAGTATGTTATATCTCTAATTAAATTTAATAACAAATTAAAACTATTTAATATCATTTTCAGTACGTGTTTTTGTGAAGTAGTAGTGTGTACCAAAGTAAGAATTCTGTATATAATTAAAATTTTATGTTTAAAAAATAATACATTTTATAATTTAGAATTGTTTAAGTTCACACTTGTCAAACATGGAAAAAGGCGATTTCAACAAGTAATTTAGTTATTTTAACTATTTATTAAAAGTCAAATCATTTTCAAATAAAAATTTATTTGAATAATACATCCAGTTTTGTTATTTATACTTGATATTACTGAGTACTATGTTAATTACTAAGTCAATCAATGGTGATCAACGTTGGTGGTCAGGATCTATTTAAGTAGGGATACCGATGGGATGTTACACCTAGCGACACTTTTAGAGGCGGTATTATTTTAGCACCAGTCAAATTTATATAATTAATAAAGTGTAATTTTATTAAAAAATTATTATTTTTTTAAATTTTCTACGGCTTATTTGTACTAATTGGATTAACTGAGAAACTTCGTGATTTTAAACATTATATAAAACGGATGATTAATTTTTTTTTTAGTTTGAGCATTATATTATAATATGCACAAATGCTTTTCATTACAAACATTACAATTATACAAATCGTATCTAGTTGAAGACATTACCCTTAAAAATTGAAAAAAATTCCCTCGTTCCCCGTAAATAGGGGAAACCTCCAAAGAAATTACAAATTTAAAAATCGCTAATTTTCGAAATTTTTTCAATTTTTTTTACTTAAAAGTGCCATAACTTTTTCAAAAATGAACATATCAATATAATTCTTTTTTATATAGATGCATAATATCATTACCTTTCATTTGGTTTATTTTTTTCATAAATTTAACCCTTAACCTGCCCACAAGGGGGGATTTAAAATGACAACTTTTTCACAAAAAATTAATTTTTTTAACTTAAATTTTGAAAATGTTCCGGAAGGTCTGACACTTTTATATATATCTTAAATTAAAGCTAATGTAATATGCTTTATCATGAAAAAAAAAAATTTCGGACTTTATCTTATCTTCATGGTGAAAATGGCTACCGAATGCTATTTTTGTGTGAAAATTTTCGATTTTGTATTTTCCATTTTTAACTTTATTATGCTATAACTTTTTGAAAAATGTATGAATCATTACAATTTTTTTATGAGAAGTAGTATTTATATAGATCTTTCATTCGACATACTGTTTTTTTAAATCGGACCATTTCCCTAAATACAGGGGGGATTCAAAACATAAAAATGCATATAGAAAGTAGAACTTTTTCAACGTAACTTTTGAAAGTGTTCCGGAAGGTCTGACACTTTTATATATATCTTAAATTAAAGCTAATGTAATATACTTTATAATGGTAAAAAAAAATTTCGGACTTTATTTTATCTTCATGGTGAAAACAGACATTAAACTTAATAAAAAAAATACGATTTTTGTAAAAAAATTCTTTTTTATATTTTTAACTTTATAATGCTATAACTTCTCGAAAGATGTATGGATCAATATAATTCTTTTTTTTGTAGATGCATGATGTCTTTACCTATCATTTGGTATATTTTTTTTATAAATCTGACTTTTTACCTGCCTACAGGGGGGGATTCAAAATGACAACTTTTTCACAAAAAATTGACTTTTTCAACTTAAATTTTGAAAGTGTTCCGGAAAGTCTGACACTTTTATATATATCTTAAATTAAAGCTAATGTAATATACTTTATCATGGAAAAAAAAAATTTCGGACTTTATTTTATCTTCAAGGTGAAAATGGCTACCAAATGCTATTATTGTGTGAAAATTCTCAATTTTATTTTTTACATTTTTAACATTATAATGCTATAACTTATTGAAAAGTGTATTGATCAATATAATTTTTTTATGGGAAATACTATTTTCTAATAATCTCTTTTTTATTCTACATACTTTGTCTTAATCAGGATATTAATAAGGAACTAGCAGTTTATGAAGCTTTTGGAATAATCCACCAATTTTTTAAAATTAAACACTATCTAAAGATTTGCATCGAAGCGTTTTTTTTTGATAGTGATTTTAATCACTGTCAGATATCATTATACTTGATCCAACTATGCCACGTCACCACTGTGCCGCGACCCCCCTGTGCTGGGTTTTTTGTTTTCTATAACTATTCTATAATGCAAATTTTTTGCTAAAATGTTGCTATATAAATCATTTCTAAAAAAAATGATTTTTAATTTCATTTAAATTTCACTATGGATTTTTACAATTATAATCAAATTTTATAATACATTCAATTTAGTAAATTTTTTTAACACCTTTTTGAAAATATTGATTTTGACATTAAGCTAGTATAACTTTTTAAAAAATATTTTTAAAAACGAATTTATTTTGTTTTTTAAATTTTGGGCGTTTTCTGAAATCATGAAAAAAATATACCACAAACCCTCANCGTTTTCTGAAATCATGAAAAAAATGTACCACAAACCCTCACCAAAAAAATTTAATTTGAAACTTTCTTTATACACATTATTTTTTAATTTTTATTTTACACTGTTATTACTTTTAAAAAAATGTACAACTAGGTAATAAAAGTGGAGGCCACAGTGATAAGGTCATCAATTTACATAAGTGTTATATTAATTTAACTTACATTTACAATTTCCTTGGGCAAATTAGAAGATGTTTGAGTTGATTCTCAGTAGACATATGAATTCATTCTTAAACTTTAGGCTATTGAAACGANGAATTCATTCCTAAACTTTAGGCTATTGAAACGATAAAAATTTATAATTTTTCATACTTCAGCCTATTAGCATTACCCAGGAGACACCACGAGGAGGTTGGCTGTTAAGTCTCCCAAAAATTTTTTTAGCTTCGATGAGAAGCAGAGAAGATATTTTACTCTTATTTTGTCTTGAGATAAAAATATTTAAGTTGAATTAATATAAAATAAAATACATCGAAGCTAAAATGTAGTCAATTATTGTCAACATAATTACTAATATGAAGGTAAAAATTTAAAACGTTTTATGAAAACAAAATTTATATCCATCCATCAAAATTAAAGGTTTAGATTTTTCACTTAAAATATACTATATTAATAAAAAACGATTTTTTTTAGGGAGACGACGATTTGTTGTTCATTAAAAATAACATTTTTATAATAAATAGTTTTACTTAATTATTAGTTTTGTCACACAAAATGCAATAGAAATCAAAATGTTTGTAATCATTTAATCTATACTCATCAGCTATACAATCAGTTACCACACGACGACAACATGTAGTGCATGACACCCATTCAATTCTGCTGTGATGTTCTATATACTTTTGGCAATATAAACATATGTTTGCCATGTCACCTGAATTTTCTAGCAGTAAACTTTTTAATTCGTATCTATAATTATTAGGGTTGAACTTCTTGTCGAAATGTGACTTATTTGTTATTGTGATAGCGTAGTATATTACATAAACTCCACAGTTATAAGCATCAACTTGTTTTGGTATGTTTTTGGCTTGACATTGAACCAATGATACTTGAGGAATTGGTTTTTTAACATAAGTACAATGTGTTTTTAACCCTCTATATAATTTTTGAAACTTTTGCTGATTGTATTTTGGATCTTTAGTAGGATTCATTGGGTCTATTATGCAACACTCTTTAAGTTCGAAATTAATTACTGCAATAATCCGATGATTCATTTTTGATAATTCTACTTGCCATGGCATAATGACAGTACTATTTTTTTCGAAGTTATACCTATTTTTCTGTTCTTGATTTTTTTGCGTACTACTTAAAATTTCTGTTACTTCGTTACAGTATAAAACTTTTAAAACTGTTTGTTTATTCATAGACTTGTTGCGGTCAGTATTCTGCCGCACTCGCGGGGTGTTATTATATTAGAAAGAAAACACAACACGTTAATGGTTCAAAGTGAACGTGAAATATTTTATTGGCGTCGACAACACAATATATACGTAATATCCGGAAACAGAAAGTAGCAAACAATAATGACAAGTATCTATGTAAATATATATAAAGGCACAATGTTCGTAATTGAATGTTCGGCGTTGTGGAGCAGACGACGAGCGATCCGATCAGTAAGGCGTCACGGAGATTACTTATCGTATATTTGCGGCGGGTCGTAGATGGACGTGCGGCACTTGCTGGACTTTGTACCGTGGCGTATCGCACGCGGTGTTAGTCAGTCAAACTACCATATGCACGTAGTAGGGCGACGGCTGATAAAGGTGTCACGGGTCGCGGGGCTCCGTGTATAGAGAACGACGCGGGACTGTGTCAAATACCCCCCCGCCAAGCCGCCGGTCTACTCAGTGAATCGGATACACATGGCGCGATTACCAATTGGGAATAAATAGCTAATTATACCGCTTTCACGGTGAAGGCCGCAAATACTTACGTTGTTTGTCCTGACGAGCCGATTGTTCGCGCGTGATCGCGCTTGGTGGTGGTCGATCGCATAACGCGAACGAGGGTGGTGGAGGGTGTTGTTTAGTCTTCTTTTTCCTTAGCGTGGTCAGGAGATGGGGGACAGGAGAGGAATAATTCGATGGCGTCTTCTAATAGGTCCTCCTCCAGCTCCATGGGCTCCTCTGCCGGACCAGGTTCTGCTGCTGGTGTCGTTGTTGTGGTTGTTGTCGTTGTGGTTGTCGTCGCGGTGGTTGTTGTCTCGCCGACGGCCACCCCCCAACGTCTTAACATGTACTCCTTATACCGCTGCTCGCGGCGTCACTGTTCGGACGGGGAGTACCGTCTCGCCGAGGGGGGGGCCGACGACGGCGGACCCGCGCTTTTGGGGGCGCGCGGTCGTCGTGGGGGACGAGGGTTGAGGGCGGTGATGTCAGGTCGCGCAGCGCGAAATGACATCAGCGGTCGTAGTCGGGTACTATCCGCTCGTGTATCGCGATTGGATAGCAGGGCTGTTAGGGGCCGTACACCTGTCGAGCTGGGGGTGGGTTGCCGGGTCCCAAAATGTTGGGCCGCAACATTTATCACCCTCCTGGTAGAGGTGGCGGCCGGGGTGCTCGGGGCCCGTACCCTCAGTGTGGGCTGAGTTGCACGAGGGACCGAGTGCACTGCGCGCATCGCGAAGTGCGTCGTTACGACCCATGCGGACACCCCGGTCGTAGTGGGCCCGTGCGACGGGGTCGCGAAGGACCTCAGGGAGTGGTTGGATGGTCCNTTTTATTTGGCGAGCTTTAAGTGTATTTATTTTATCTTGGTGATTTATGAATTTAACTATAATTCTTCTGGGACGTGCGTTGTTACGGTTAAAACCGATTCTGTGACAATCATTTATCATTGACACGTTTATATTTGAATTTAATTCTTTACATATTTGGTGGACTAATTGAGTGCAATCTTCTGTTTTATTTTCAGGTATTCCATCAATGATAATATCATTTGATATTTGGCGGCGTTCCATGGATTCAATTTTGTTTTCTAGTTGGATTACGTGTGTTTTCAAAATATTGTTTTCTGTGATAATCTTATCGATTGCATTAAATTTGGCGTTTAAGTTGTTGAAATTAATATAGGTATCTTCCTTAAATTTTTGAAAAGTGTCTTTAAGTTGAAGTATAATTTCTTTTATTTCAATTAAATCAGTGTTACTCGAGTTGACTGAGGAGTCAAGTCGGATCGAGACTCTTTTGGCTTTAGAGCAACTGCTACATCTCCAGATATTGTCCGACTCTTTTAAATAGTCTACATCTTCCTTAGAGAGTTTTTGACATTTGGCGTGCCAGGTCAAATTACAGTCAGTACACGTTATAGACAGGGCCGACACAATATTAACGGAGCATGAGTTGCATAAAGGCATAATAAAGTATTGTTTGTGAGAGTTTAAAATAACAACAAAAACACAACGCGAACAGAAAAAAAAAAAAAAATGCGATAAGGCAGAGACGTAGATGTTACACAACCGAACAGAACGGAGCGCAACTGATAACTGAATAGGTGATGCGCTTTATAATAAATGACGTCCTCGACTGTATATTTTGTTTTGGCGTGGCCGGTCGGAGGCGTGGTTATATTTTTGGTGGCTTGTTGTTCGCGCGTCAATCGATCGCTATTAATAGCTGTAGGGGCTACCGGCTCTATATGTTGTATGGCCTAGTCGCCCGGCCGTTTCCCTTCCCTTCCCAGGACGAGTACGGACGGGGGGTAACCGGTTTGTACATTACATCGATTGCGTAACGCGAACAATAGCGGGGGTAGTTTTAGGTCCCAAGAAGAGTGACTGGACTCGGTTAATAACGCGCGTAGTCCCTTCTTTAATTCCTGGTTCCTACGTTCTACCGGGTTGGCGCGTGGTNAATTCCTGGTTCCTACATTCTACCGGGTTGGCGCGTGGTTGGTATATCGGTGTGGTCCAGGCTTCAGTCCCCCACCGGTTCATCGCGTCGATCATTTCCTTCGACACCAGCGATTTGCCGTTGTCGCTTAAAATTACGCGCGCGTATCCGAAGCGTGAGAAAAATTCGCGTTTTAGCGTATCAACAATTGTTTTTGTCGTTGCTGCGCCGATTGCGTACGCTTTGGTCCAGCGACTGAAAAAGTCAGTTGCTACTAACAGGTTCGTTTTTCCCCTTGATGTCCTGGGGTACGGGCCCATTAGGTCTATACTAATTACTTCCCATGGCTGTCTCGGTTGACGACTGACTATTGGGTCCTCTGGGCGTCTGTTTAGGGGCTTAGTGCACGTGCAGATATGACACGATTTAACGTACATGCGCACGAAATTCTTTAGCCCCTTGCCGTAGAATCGTTGCTTTATTGACCGGTAGGTCTCTTTCCATCCAGGGTGACACGCTAAGGGGTCGTCGTGGTAATACCGAATTAGTTGATGTGATTTGTTACCGGGTACGACGATCGGTGTGTCCGCGCCCATACGCGCCCGTTTAATAAAAAAAAATTCTCTTTATTAATGGCGTATTTTAGCTCGTTCGACGCGGGAGTGCGTGTGATTAAATGTCGTTTAAAAGAGACGAGTCGTTATCTTGCCACTCTTGTACTTCCCCCCCGTAAACGGACGACCGCAGAATGCGTCGTTTGTTTCGATGACGGCGTAAATATTATCAAGAGTGGCAGAACGTGGGGACGGTTGTAATGTGGGCGCCCCTATTAAATTGTCGTCGAGGGCGTCTTCGTCGACAGCGGGCCCCTCCGTCGGGTAGCGTGACAACATGTCCGGCGCTTCATTGTGTTTGCCCGGTACGTGTGTTGTGGTGAAATTCAGGTTACCTGGTTAATTTGCTGTTGGTGCCCTTCGATTTGTGTAAATACGTTAACGCGGCGTTGTCCGTATACAATTTAAAAGGGGCATATTCTAAAAATGATCTAAATTTGTCTGTGGCCCATATGATCGCTAAACACTCGCGTTCAACAGCGGCGTAACGTTTTTGCACATCCGATAGCTTCCTACTAGCGTACGCGATAATATTCCTTTCGCCCGGGCCGATGCCGTGCTGAAACAATACCGCTCCCACGCCTAGTTCGCTAGCGTCGGTTTGTAGGCAAAACGTTTTTGTGTAATCCGGGGGAGAGAGGCGTGGTGAATCGCATATCGCTGTTTTAATGTGTTCAAACGCGCTTTGCTGTGTGTGGGACCACGACCACTTTTCCCCTTTTTTGAGCAGTTTAGTAAGGGGGTCTGTGCTGTCCGCGTAGTTATCGACGAACTGGCTATACCAATTACATACCCCTAAAAATCTGCGTAAGTCCCTGACATTACGTGGGACTGGTATGGCGCGTATGGACTCAAGTTTTTCCGGTTCCTTATCGATGCCCTCCCCATGCACCAGGTGTCCCAAAAAAGAAATTTCAGAGAACCCGATTTTACACTTTTTTGTGTGGCACGTGAGACCATGTCGTTGTAGGCGCTCCAAAACTTTACTAAGGTGGTCTAAATGGTTTTCCACGTTTTCCGAAAATATCAAGATGTCGTCCAGATAAACTTGCACAAAGTCGTTTATATACCCCCTAAGTACTTCGTTCATAAGTCGTACGAAGGTCATGGGTGCATTTTTAAGTCCAAACGGAAGTACACGAAATTGAAACAAGCCCCTCATCGTTCTAAACGCTGTATATTTANCCCTCCTCGTTCTAAACGCTGTATATTTTCGCGCGTTTTGTTCAAGTGAGCATTGCCAATAACCTGATTTTAAATCTAGTGTCGTGAATACTTTCGCCCCCCGCATACTTCTAATCATATCGTTTAGATTGGGCATGTGGTACGCGTCTGAGACGGTCACTTCGTTGAGTCGCCTGTAGTCGATGCACAAACGACAGGAGCCGTCCTTTTTCTTGGCCAGGACGACTGGTGCCGACCAAGGCGAGGTGCTGGGTTCTATAAGTCCCTGTGATTCCATATCATCTACCATTTCGTCTATCGCCTCTTGTTTGTTTGTGTACCTANGATTCCATATCATCTACCATTTCGTCTATCGCCTCTTGTTTGTGCAGAGGGTACGGGTATGGTTTCAATGCGATGGGTTTCGAATCTTTTAGAACGATATCGTGTTCGATTAACTATGTGCGTCTCACCGTGTTGTTAAAAACCGCAGCGTATNCACCGTGTTATTAAAAACCGCAGCGTATTGTTTCACTATGTGAGATAATAATTCGCGCGAATGTGGGTCGCCTGCTATATCTATGTTTGGCAGATCTATACTGTGGGGGGTGCGGGGAGCGCTTGCTTTTCAGTACGCCGTAGTACGTCGTTTCGCGCCTAGATGTATTGTGCGTGCAGCATAATCCCAAGAGACTTCCTGATCGGTCAGAAAATCATGCCCTAGAATTACGTCACAGTACAGGTTCTCTAAGATCACGGCCGTAAAAGTGGTTGTCAGATCTGCGATGTTCGCGATAAAAGTAGCGGTGCCGGCAGTGGGTGTCGTGTGGCCGTCTGCTAATCTAACCGCGTGTGTGGGTCCTTTGCGCACAATTCCGTATTTATGGGCTATTGCCGAGGTGGTATATGACTTTTGCGCTTGTGAATCAAGTAATGCCGTCACAAATGCCGTTGTTAAATTCAAGTTCCACAGCGGGAGTTGTAATTTTACGCGGGGGTGTTTGTTTGGCAAAACTCGGGTGGTTTATAGTTCGAACGGGGAGCGTCTGAACGGTTTGTCCGCCGGCGGTGTCAATCGCCATAAGCGGGTATGCCGTCTCGGCTGGTATCCCCTCCCCCACGGTGACCAACATATCGTTGGCTCGACTCGCGCTATTATCGTATAACACGGGGACTTTTGTTTTCTCGGCCGTATGACTAATATTTTTAAAAACCTTGAGGACCGCATTGTGTCCCTCACTGTGGGTGGGGGATGCGGTGAGTGCGTTTAAAGGAGCTACAGCTTGTCCTGCGTTGTGCGCGAGGGGCTGTAGTCGAGTTTGAGGGCCTGGTGAACAGGCGAGGTGAGGTGGTAGGTCGTTAAAAATTTCATCATTATGCCCGAGAGGAACGCGCTCGATTTCGCTATCGACGACGAACGAATTAGTTACTCGCGCTGCACGTTGAGTAGTGTGTTTGTTTATTGCTGACCGGAATTGTGTCTTTGAGCCAGAAGAGCGGACTAATTTCTCCATGGTTGCTGCCCGTTT